TTCAAGAGCACCTCTACCTTCTTAGAAAAGGCTTCCTACTGGTTAATTTAGGCTCACCCAAAGTAATCTCTTTTTTGATTAACTTAAAGTCAACTGATTAGGGACTTTAATTACACTGACGATATCTCTTCACAGCAGCACCTAAATTAGTGTTCAATTGTACAACAGAAGGGTTTGTGTACACTGCAAAACATCTGCAGCCTACCTTCTGTCCTCCAGCTCTTGCAAGGGAAACTCTTGTAGCTCAGTCTGTCTCGAAATATACTAGAAAGGGAATTCTGGGGAATGTAGTTCAGTTTAGCCAAGTTGACACATCATGAAGCCATCACAATAGGTAAAGCCTGGTTTAGGATCATTTGCAGCCTTAGGTATTTTTATTTGTTTTATTTAAAAATTGGGGGGGGGAGTTGTTTGTTTTGATTTTGATTTTTTCTTGTATTATCTTAACAAATGATATACACAGTATGATAATTCATGGTATAAAGGTGATGTTCTTGAGATTGCTTTGGATCATACTATTTAAACTAGTCTTTGGTCTTCACTGACTAGGAGGCCACCTACATCTCAACAGCTGAGAAAACAAAATAGTTTTCATGTTTGGCTTTTAAGCTTCTAAGGCCCCAAATCCTGCCTTGGGCAGATCTTAGAACACCCGTCCACCCTATCCTACCCTATTCCCAAGCTTCATCCCCAATGAAATGCAGTGCCTCTGTAACTCTCTTCCGAATTTGCTTTCTCCTTTGTTCACCACTTAATACATGTGTGTGCTCGTGTGCTTACGGATGTGCTGGTGTGTGTATGTTGATTGCCTCATAGTAAGACCTACTCTTGAGACTTAGACTTCAGATAGCTTAGAGAACAGACTTCTTTTTTGGTTCCTGGTTATTATTTGAATTTGCTTTAGGCACAACTCTTGGAGGCCTAGCTAACAGCAGTTGGAGTCTCCACCCACTTGCCAACAGCAAAACTAGTTTACTAGGGGAAACAAGTTATTAAATGCCAACTTGTGCATAGGCTAGTGCTAGAACCATACTCAACAACTCTATCATTACTGTTTGTGTTTACAGTCTCTTCGGTCCTGGAATATATTCAGACCTCAAGAGTTTATGACCTCCCCATCAATTGAGTATATTGCACTTGGCATATTGCCACACAATCAGGGCTCAAATGATAATAGCCGTGCTCTTTATCAAATCCCCCCTCCCAAGATAGCACTATTTATATGTGAGAAGGTTGCAAATTTCACCATCTCCTGGTTGATGAAAGTGCGGCTTCATGGGCCGGCCCGGTGGCGCACTGGAGAGTGCACCGCTTGGGAGCGCGGCGGCGCTACCGCTGAGGGTTCGGATCCCATGTGGAGACCGGTTCCTGCTCACTGGCTGAGCGCGGTGCGGGCGCAACACTGAGGGTCTGAGGGTTGCGATCCCGTTGCTGGTCCCCGGTATGGGTGTGACACCGAGGGTTGCGATCCCGTTACCGGTCAGTAAAAAAAGACAAAAAGGAAAAAAAAAAAAAAAAAAAAAGAAAGTGCAGCTTCGTGAGAGGAGCTACCCACGCTCTTCTGTGTGATGTGCACTCAAATCCTCAGCAAATAATTGCCAGGTGAGAGAGTCGCCATCCTTTTCTCCCTGGACAGTCCATCTTGTAGCAGGTGCTGCTATCAGACAGGTTTTTTCATCATTGTGGTTTGTATTTCAGAGACATGACAAGTATTCTACTTTGGCTGGAAGTGAATTTTTTTCTCTGGTAATTGTACACAAACGTCGTTTCTCCACAAGACTTCTTAAGTTACTAGTGCTTGTGCCACCTTCCTTCAAACTGTGCTTCAATTTAATTTTTTTTCTTTTTTTGTCCTTTTTGTGACTGGTAAGGGGACCGCAACCCTTGGTTTGGTGTCGCCTGCACCGCGCTCAGCCAGTGAGTGCACCAGCCATCCCTATATAGGATCCGAACCCCCGGCGGGAGGTAATAATAATTTTAAGTGTATATTTCCAGCACCTCTGCTTGAGTGATTACTATACTTCATAGTAAATTTACATTTTTTATTACTTTTATTTTTTTTTAATTTATTTACTGTTATTACTTTGAGCAGCCAATCTCATGAGAAGTTCAGAGCTGAATTTGTAGGTAATGATAAATGTATTTTTTGACTTGTTTCCAAACACACTTATTATGCCTTGTGTTTTAATTATTTCATAAAATACAGATTCCTTGAAAGGCCTGCAAGAGAAAACAATCAAAAGTATAGTGTTTAACAATATGAGCCTACCTAGGTTTGAATTCCATTATGGGCTACTTCCTAGCTTCGTAATCATGGCATATTATTAAATCTCTAGCCTTCAACTTTATTATCTGTAAAATGGGGATACAGGTTAAACATCCCTAATCAAAAAATCAAAAATCCGAAATGCTCCAAATCTGAAATTTTTTGAGTATCTACATGACGCCACAAATGGAAAATTCCATACCTGACCTCACATGACTGGTCACAGTCAAAACTCAGTCAAAACTTTGTTTCATGAACAAAATTATTTAAAATGTTGTATAAAATTACCTTCAGGCTATGTGTATAAGGGGTATATGAAACATAAATGAATTTTGTGTTTAGACTTAGGTTCCATCCCAATAAAATGACACATATTACAAAATCCAAAAATACAAAATCTGAAACACTTCTGGTCCCAAACATTTCAGATAAGGGATATTCAGCCTGTAATGCATACCTCATAGGGTACTAATTAGGATTAAAGGAGATAATGTGTATAATGACCTAGTGCAATTATTGAGCTCAGAGTATGTGCTCAATAATGATTAGTTCAATGAGTATAAACTTTACAATAATAAGGTTGGGGATGCAAGAAATTCAGTTTTCTTCATTTCCTATAGAAGGCATTTCAAGGCCTGATGCTAAACTCTCTATTCCATGTGATGGTTGGGCAAGGGCAGAGGAGAGGGAACATCTACTTTCTCTTTTGAGGTTGGTCTTATGTAGGTGTCTGTGGTAGATTTATTTGTTCTCTGCACAGATGACACCTGTATTCCCTCTGGCAGAGTTCAACAGCATCCTTTTGTGAACTCAGTCCCCACCTGGCTCCTGCGTAGGCTGAGCTCGGCCCCTTTAGCCCCTGCTGGCCCCTGTTGCTTCTTTTTTTTTCGTCTTTTTTCGTGACTGGTAAGGGGATCGCAACCCTTGGTGTGGTGTCGCCCACACCGCGCTCAGCCAGTGAGCGCACCGGCCATTCCTATATAGGATCCGAACCCGCGGCAGGAGCGTCGCTGCGCTCCCAGCGCCGCACTCTCCCGAGTGCGCCACGGGGTCGGCCCCATTTTTTTTTAAATTGTTATTAGCATATTCATTATTTCAGATCATGATTTTTCTTTATGCCCTTTACCTGACCTGTCCCTCTTCAAACCCCCTCCCTCCCTCCAACCCCATCTCCAGTAACCTTAGGTTTGTTCTCTCCTTCTGAAAGTTCAATGAATTGTTGTGGTCTTTTCTTTTGAGAGGCACCCTCGTAAGGACTGTGGTCCTTTCCTCCATTGACCTCCAGATCCCTAGTCAGAACCAAGGGAAGACTAAAGGAGTGATCTGTCCTGTCACTTTCTCTTCTGTCCCCTTTTATCTGCCATCCACCTTCAAGAATCTCAGACAGGAAGTAAGGTGTGTTCTGCCCAATTCCCCAATTCATTCTGACTCCCCAACACACGTCATTCATGTGTCCACCACCACCAGGGACAGCAAGGGTGGGGAGGGGACAAGACAAGCCACATTTACATCCTCTAATCTTACTTCCTTTTTGTCTCTTCGGTGACACTTTGTTTCTCCTCTCCAACCTGAAGCCTTTACTGGTGTTTGGTTTCAAGGGGATGAAAAACCGGTTTTGTCAGCACTTCCTTGGGATATGTTCTTGTCCCACATTCAGACAGGACAAGTCCAGAATCCGGGGTGTTTGTTTTGTTGGAATATTGGGGGGTAGAGTAGAGGAAAACAGTGCCTCCTTGGGCTGGTGACTCCAGATAGTCCATCATAAACAAACACTCCATAGAGCTGCTATTATTTTTATTACACAAAATCTACTTGATCCAAGGGATTCTTTTATTTCCTAAGGCAGTGGTTCCCTAAGTCTTTGGATTTCACAGAAAAAAAAAATTGTTTAATAGGGAACTGGTGAAGGATTGCCAAGTTTTAATTTTATTGACTAAAGAAAAATGTTTTTTTTAAATACCCCTCTATTTCTATCATTTATTTTATTGCCTCCCTCTTCCACTGGGTGGATAAAATTGAAGCACAAAGAACAGTTCTTTGAATGTGAGCTAATGTGGCCATATGAAAACTCAGCAGCTTTGTGCATTTGCTCATATAGCTGCAGTCCAATGAAAACTTCTTCCAGACCAGCTCCAGTCAGCCAGTGGCGTTTGGAAATCACTGCGTTGGAGTGTTTCAGCCATGGAGTCTGGTTCACTGTCGCCTGTGATTATGTATGAAGCGCTTTCAGGAAGCAACATATAGGATAACTCGGGCCAAAGGAAACACTGTGCCTAAATACTCAGCCAGAGAGGGTTGGGTTTGCCCAAATTTCTGGAAAATTGCCTCCATTCACCAGTTCCCTTGTACTTAGGTAAACAATCGTGGCCTCAGAGAGCGTTTGCAGGAGAAATTATAAAAATTCAGCAAAGCCTTGTGATCTCATTTTGGATCTCCTCAGGATTCCTCATCAAGATGCAATTAAGCAGAGAAAAATTCTGCCTTGGGGTGTGATTTTAATTACTCATCACGTTATGACTTGACTTTCCGTGCTGCGTTTCTTTTCCTTTCCATATCCCGGCTTCTGTGTTTGACAGCTCCTCCAAAGAGTCACTTTGTTTTATGCTGAGTGAAGCACTTGCTAAGTCGAAAGGGAAGGCAAGGCAGGCATCTGCTGTTACCTTAGGCCTTTACCAGGAAGCCCGTGTGGGAAACTTTTTTTTTTGTTTTGTTTTGCTTTTCCCCACCCCTCCAGCCTCAGTTTTATGACCCTGTGGAACCAGTGGACTTTGAAGGACTTCTCATGACACACCTGAACAGCCTGGATGTGGAGCTGGCACAGGAGCTGGGAGACTTCACCGATGACGACTTGGACGTGGTGTTCACGCCAAAGGAATGTAGGACTTTGCAGCCCTCTTTGCCGGAGGAAGGGTAAATCGTTTTCTTAAAATGTAGATGGGGTTGTGACTGTCGTGGCTGTTATTGGTGAACGGGGAGATGCCCTAATTCTGATCTTTAAAAAAAAATAAACAAAATTACTCAGTCCATTAAGATGTGACGAACCACTGTCTGGTACTGTCACCTTGGTTTGGCCAGAGGCTTTGAAAAGCCATGTGAGACTAAGCCAGTTCAAGGGGTGTTATAGGGTAAGATGGAATGTTCAAGAAGAGGTTAAAGTGCAGGCTCTGGAGCCAGACTGCCTGGTACTAGCTCAGTGACCTTGGGTGAGTCACATGACCTCACAAAGCCTCAGTTTTTTCATTTGTAAAAATGTCAAGATTTTCATAATAATCATTGAGAAGCATTTTAATTATTTCCATATAAGAGTCTAGATCAGTTTAGAAACATAAGTTCAACCCACATCTATTGAGCATCTACTATGTGCTGGATACTGGGATAAAAAGTCTCTTCCCTTAAAGAAAGTTTTGTCAAGTGGAAAAATAATGGGGAAGCTCGGTGGAGTGAACATGTATGTAGATAGCTTCTCAGGGCGTGAGTTTCTACAGTGGGTTGGTCTCTGTGTTTATAGGCATTAGCTCTTGATATCAGACTAACTGTGGAATTGTATTTAAACGGAACTCCTGTTATCTGATAGTGTAAAAATCAATGTCTCTTTGGAGGTTTAGGATGAACTTTTATTTGCACTCATTTTAAAGTCAAAATTAAGATTCACATGCTCCTGGACATTTTCAACCTTCTTATCTTTCCCAAACAGTCCCAGAAAAAAGATCATGAAACACAGCCCCTACCGTCATTACTTTGAGATATGCTAGTTCTATTTTGGATTTTATTTTATCATGGTTTAGGGACCCTAGATGACAGTGATGATGTGACATTATTATGACCCTTTGCTCTCCTGTTCAGAGAGTTCTCACTCACACAGGAGAGCTGACTATATGTGCAGCTCTAATGTTTTGACAATAATCATTTCCCAAATAACAAAAACACTGGGAAACATTTTTTCCTGTCACCAGTCCATTTATTCAGGTGTGACTTTAATACAGGTAATACCTATTATTTTCACCTTTGGTAGAAAATCATTTAATTTTATTTCATTGTGTGAAATATATGATTGATTAATTGCCTTTAAATATGGCCAGAATCTTGGAAAAATCTGTTTAAAATACTACAGTAAATATAAAGGATGGAAGATATTTTTTAATTTAAAAAAATAGAAGCGTCGATATTTGAGTATATTATTTTCTTGTCACCAGAATTTATAGCTAACACATTATCTGTCTGATGAGTTTAAAACAACCTCTACTATTTTCATGGTTGCCAAAAAGTCTTCTGTATAGTTAAGGCAGGGGAAGGTGTCATGGTCATCATCAGAGGAAACTGTAGTTGACTCCCAGTGAACACCTCGTGCTTAGCCCAGAACTGTATGTTAAACTTGACAGCATAGTGGTTACAAGTGTGGACTCCACAGGTGAGCTGCTGGGTCCAAGTCCCTGCTCTACCACTTGCTGTGTGACTTGGAGCAAGATCCTTAGCATCTCATTCTTCTGCAAAATGAGAATAATAGTAGTACCTGCCCTAGGGGGCAGATTGAGGATTAACTGAATTAATATACGTAAAGTGATTACATCAGTGCCTAGTGCATAGTAAATGGTACATAAATGTGAATTATTACATATAGGTCTTTTTATGTGCCAGACACTTTTCTAAGTGCATTGTACACTAACTTATTTGATTTTCATGACAACTCTCTAAAGGAGGCACTCTTTCTATTAATATCACCACATTAAGGTGAGGAAACTGAGGCACAGAAGGGTTGAGTTACTGGCCCAAGGTCATATAAGACATGAAGCTGGGATTTGGGCAGCCAGGGCCCAGAGACCATATGTCCACTCCAATATTTCACCTAATGCTAACAGCAAGTCCACAGGTGGGTACCGTTCTTATCCCCTTTATACAAACAAGAAAATTAAGACTTGGAGCATTTAGACCTATTTATCTCTAGTACTAACACATTTGCAACAACAGCAAAAAGCTTTGCTGCTATCATTATTTCTGATTTCAAGACTCTGAAACACTTAAAGAGCATCTCTCATGGCACACTCCTAAGCAGGTATGACAGGAACCCCCAAATTCAGGATCACCGACTGAAGCCAGTGCCTGCCAATTCATCAAAGCATAAGACAACTGTTCTTTTTCTTGGCTTTCAAAAAAGAGAGTGTGCATGTCTTAACAAGGTTACACATGAGCAAAAAATGTGTCCAAATTACCCGTTAGAGAAAGGTATCTATGCTTATTTTTCTTGTTTGTATTTTACGACAGCTAGTTCTACCTGTCTTGTGTCGGGATGCCTTCAGGGATAGGTACAGCTTAACATGATTCTCTATAATAAAGAAAACCCACAAAGCATAAAACGCCAAGTTTCCTCATCAGAGTAAAAATGTTATTGCTCAGAAATACTTCAGACACTTGAACGGGCAAGAATACCCTTAGTATTCTCATTGATATGGATTTGAAATCATGTCACACTCCTTGGTTGTAAGGGATTGTTTTGTTGTTTGTTACCCAGTAATGACATATTTTCATTTCATTTTCCACCTTATTAGGGTTGAACTGGACCCCCATGTCAGGGACTGTGTTCAGACCTATATTCGGGAGTGGCTAATCGTGAACCGGAAGTAAGTTGACCTTTTTCCCCTTCTTTATGTATAAATATTAATTTTATATTGTAAGCTTTATATTTTTTCAATTAATAAACTTTTTTCAAGCAGTTTTAGATTTATAGAAAAATTGAGCAGAAAATACTGGGAGCTCTCTCTTCCACACACACAGCTTCCCTCATTATTAACATCTTGCACGGTGGGGTACACTTGTAACAATTAAGGAGTCAATATTGATACACTATTATTAACTACAGTTCATAGTTTACATTAGTAGTCATTTTTCATGTTGTTATTCTGAGGGTTTTGACAAATGTATAATGACATGTATCTGCCATTAAAGTACCATACAGAATAGTCTCATTGTCCTAAAAATCCCCTGTGCTCCACCTATTTAATCTGTCACTTCCTCTCCGGCAACCACTTATCTTTTTTATTGTCGCCATAATTTCACCTTGGTTCTCCAACGTCTTTTGGTGTCTTGATAGTCCATTTCTTTTTATTGCTGAATAATCTTCCATTGTATAGACGTACCATAGTTTGTTTATCCATTTACTTATTAACGAAAAAAGTTACACTTTAAACATAAAGAACAGAGCCTTGTTATTTTCATGCTGATGAATTCCTGGGGGAAAAAAATAAATGAATCGAAACTTGGCCTCAAATTCAAAAACGTCTTTAATGTGACCAAGAAATAAATTACTTGCTAGCCTTGTAGTCAAAAAGGAAGGAACCCTTCCTCTCCTGGGTTAATCAAACTTTCTGTGATATTGTTCTGAGCTTTTTATCCCATGCCACTGACCTGGACAGCACTCTCTTATGAGAAACATTCCTACATGCTGAAATTCTCAACCTGTGTGTGTACGCATTGCGGGGTGGGATGGGGACTGTCTGCAAACTGGGACAGATGCTACTAGAGACACATTGGAGAACCTTTGAGAAGACATAAGTCGTTTGAAATTCTGAATGTCTCACCTCTCCTATACCCCATGAAGAATTACTGTCCTTTGGGATAAACGATGAAAGACTTTGGGGATTGGGTTTTATCCAGCTCCTGGAAATGTGCCATTGAATTTGTGCTGATCTATCCTGGAGTCATTTCAATATGCATACTACTTTCAATAGCTGAGAAAGAGAAAGCATCACTTATAAAAAGTAATTAAGAGACAGTTAGATGCTAATCTATCATCCATTCTAATATGACTGGAAAGTGAAGTTTGCCGTGTAGTCAAATGCTTTGCTGGTAATAAATAAAAGTTTCAGAACAAGTTGTTCTCAAGCTTTTAAACTTTATAATTAGAGGTACTTTCCGGATAGTAATAGTCTAAAACAATCTGAGAAGGAACGATAAATAGGAAGGTCCATTTTACTGCATTTGGTTTACAGATTTATTTTCTATTTGGGATGCTATAATTTTTTGTTCCTCGTTGCAATGCAAGATCCTTGGAATATTCTTTTTTCTCTATCTTGCATAAACTTAAAAGAAAAAAAAGGACTATTTAGAATACTCATTGCAGAAATTTTAGGAATTAGAGGGAAACAAAACAAAAATCATTCAATTTCACTAATAGATAGATAGCCACCATAAATATTTGATGTGTACCCTTTGAATTGTGTTTCTTGGCATATGATTATATAAAAAATAAATCAGCATATAATACTATTTTGTAACTTACATTCTCAATTTTCACAGTGAGTGGTGATTATCTCTCTTGGCTATTAGATATTCTTCCTCAACACAATTATTAATGATTGTATTTGTTTATACCAAAATTCATTTAACCAATTTTAATATTTAGATGATTCCCTGTTTTTCAGTGTTATACCTGAAATGCAACTATGTCATTCTCACTCACACATTGTGCACATTTACGATTTTTGTCCTCTGGAATAAATTCCTACAAGAAGAATTTCTGTGTCTAAGGGTATGCATAAATTTAAGGATTTGGGAATAATGGGTCAAAGATTATTAATAATACATGCATGAATCCTCTAGAATATTGAATGTTATCACTTATTAACATTTCCAATTTTATTTGTAAAAAGGTTGCCCTTTGTTTGCACTTTCTTTGATTATTAGATTGGGCATCGTTTCCCCATATGTTTGTTGGCCATTTGTAATTTTGGTTCTCTGCATATTCATGAAATTTGTGCATCTCTATTAATGTATTTGCTGGTCTTGTTTATTTTTAGGAACACTTTCATTTGTTAAAGATATTAACCCTTGGTATATCATATATTATAAATTCTTTACCCAGCATGCCCTTTGTCTTTTAAAATTGTAATTTTTAACATTCAGAATTATTTATGTAATTAAATCTATTTTGATATTTTCCATATGATTTCTACTTTTGATGTCATGCTTAAAATTCAATTCGCAAAGCTAATATTTCCTAGGAGTTTTGAATTAAAGTATTAATCCAGACCATTAGCCACTTGCTGGTTGCTTCTGTTCCCTTATGCATGTCCATTTTTTTATCCTTTGTAAAAATAATTATTATTCATATATTTATTCTATGCAAGTTTTCACATCTTTTTTTAATGAAACAAAGCAGTATCAGTTTTAACATTATACTTGACAACATACTAGGGATGGGGGCTGCGATTGGCCCAGTTCTCTGCACACTTGTGTAATGGACCAGTTCCCTTCCCAGAAATCAGCTAGTAGGGAGCTCAAAGGGTGCAACTTGGAAATCCACTGTCGGTTTCTGTGTTTTCTTTAGGGAGTATCTTTTTCTACACCTTTGTCTCATTCTCTGGTACTAATACTCAAATGTGAAAACTGCAATTCCTAGCACACACTCCTCCTAGGGATCGTTCTGTCTCTATGTGTATCTATAATATTTTACTTGAGGAGAGAATCCAATGCTCTATTCCAGACACCCTTCATCTCCCAACCCCACATACATTTTCAGCTCACTTGTTTTCTGGGTTGTTTCTATATTGTTGCAGAATGATGGTAGAAAAAGCAGGGAAAGGAGAAGGTAATAATTTATCTGATTACAGTCAGGTGGAACCTGTGAGTGCCTTCATAGGTAGGCCACTGCAGTAATTCAGATTTCTGGCTAGTATAGACACTGGCTTTTCTAGTATAGACACTGGATTAACTTCAGGACTAGCAGGAAGGAAAGTATAAAGCACCTTCTTATTTTATTCAGTGAGTTCTCCTTTGGAGAGACAAAGTATGGTACCTCTTTCTTTTTCCAGTTTCAACTAATCCACAGAGATTCTGTTAGTTTGGATGAGTGTCCATTTTTTCTTTGTCTTCGTAGGTGTTTTACTAGGAAGTTGGGGGAGGATGCAATAGTTCTTACCGGCCAGTTGTTAATTAGTGATGGATTATTTAGCTCTCCTTTGAAGCTGTTATTTTATGTGCCAAATAATGTATGCTTGTTTTGAAAAAAGTCAAATAATATGGCAGCGCATTCTATACAAAGCAGGTCTCATGCTCTCTGCTCGCCTGCTTTCTGCCCCTCCCTTCAACTCGCTCTTCACTGTATAAAGGTCAGCTGTGTAGCCTTCCAGATCTTCTTATCACACCCTCACAATGGGTATATGGCTGTTTATATTTTTACATAAATATATGTGTATTTATATATGTAAATTTAAATACATATATATTTAAATATTACAGATATACATAATATTTTTTACATAATATCTTTGACATGTTTCTTTGTCAGAGATCTATCCTGTTCTTTTGAAATGCTGCCTAGTATTCTGATGGTGAGAAGAAGGTATCACAAGTGATTGACTCTTCTCTACTGATGTCTCCATTATTCACAATTACAAATAATACCACACACATGTGAATATATCTGAAGGTAGAAATGGAACCGGTACACATAACACATTTGATAAGCACTGCCAAATTCTCCAGAAAACTTGTCTAATTCACTTTCTTACCACCCGCACATGAAACTACCCTTTCCTTCCATATCGTTGCCAATGCTGGATATTATTACTCAATAATATTAATTTTAATTAAATGTATTTAAGTTATTAATAAACATTTTAATCAAAATAAAATTTAAATTCCTCCAATCATATTCTAGCTTCATTTTAATCTGGAAGCTATTATACCTACTTTCTGAATATGGTTTTCTGTCACTGAGTTTTCTTCCCTTATGTATTCTAAAATCCTATTTAAACATACAGTTAAGCATACAATCTGAAGTCTTACTCCCAGGTATTTACCTGAATGAAATGAAAACATATAATCACATAAAAACCCATATGCAAATCTTTATAGCAGTTTTATCTGTAATTGCCAAAAACTAGAAGCAACGCAATTGTACTCAACTGGGTAATGAATAAATAAACTCTGGTAAATCGGTGCAATGGAATACTACTCAGCAATAAAATGGAACGAACACCGATAGATGCAACAACAAGGATGAATCTCAGATGTATTGTACTAAGTAAAAGAAGCCAGACAAAAAAGACAACTGCATGATTCTATTTACATGACATTTTGGAAAAGGCAAAGCTACAGGGATAGAAAACAGGTCAGCAGTTTCCAGGGTCTGGGGTTGGGAAAGGGCATGGAAAAATTTGGGGAGAATGCTGGAACCATCCTATACTACACCTTGATTGTGGTGGTGGTTACACAACTATATGCATTTGTCAAAACTCACAGAACTTTACTCTAAAAAGGATGAATTATAATTGTACCTCAAAAGCAATGGATAGAAATGCAAGATAGTGCCTGGCATTAAGTGATTACTCACAAAATTTAAGGTCAATAGATTTTGCTATGGCTTATTATACTATTTTGTAGAAGGGTGGTTTCACTGGAGCAGAAGTAAATGGATTCAAATCCTGACTCCACCATTTACTAGTTGTGTAATCCAAGGCAAATTAATTTATTTCTTTGTGCCTCAACTTCCTCATCAGGAAAACAGAAATTAGAATATTATCTACCTCACACATTTTGTAGTATGCAATAAAAATTAAAATATATAAAAGTACTTAGAAGATTTCTTGGCATATGGTATGAATTCAATAAATACTAGCAA